ATAAATTTTTTATGTAAAAAGTATTATAAATTATAATAATTAATAGCTTAAAATATTTGAAAACATATAAAAAGTTTTTGTTAAGTTTCAAAATTTCATCTATACTACATAAATTGGGAGAAATATAGATATATAGATATTTTAAGTTGCTAATGATTGTGAGTTATAGTACGTTTTATGTCATTTTCATATATATTACTCGCTTTGTCCTGATTTATGTGATATAAATGAAATTTCAAAAGTCAATGAATTTTTTATAAGTTTTTTTTTTAAATTAACTTGTTATTTATTGTGATTTATAATATATTTACGTAAAACATACTCTAAATAAAAATAATTAGCAACTTAAAATATATAAAAACATATTAAAAAATTGATTAACTTCAAAGTTCATATGTACCACATAAATTAAAACAAAAACAGTAACAATAATATATATTGGGCCCCGTGCTGGCACGGGTTCCCATATCTAGTATATGGATACACGTGAGTTAGGCGTACAAAGGTAATATTTTTTACTTTTCTTTAAGTAAAAAATAAAGCTCAAATATGAAAAAAAATTTAGGCAAAATCCTAACAATTGACTGGGGCGAGGATGAACTTGCTTCTTTACCGGTCTATCCCTCAAGCATATGATGGTTCTTTGAATACTTAACATTTATGCAGTGGCGTACCCACATGGTAGTAAGGTGTCGTTAGAAAAAAATATTGTATATACAAGTAAAATTATGCATGAAATGATTAAAACATATTTTGGACACTTTTAACATAACAAGTTGTTATAGCTCAGTGGTTTCAACTCCTTAGAATAATGAAGTGCTTGTATGTTTGAATCTCACTAGTTCTACTTTTTTAAAAGAGTTTTTGTTGTGCTATTTTTGGACACCATTTGTGAAATTTCTGACTCCGCCACTGCATTTATGTTGGTCCTTTGAATACTAAACATTTATGTTAGTCCTCCTGTTAATAATTATATCAGTCATATGTCGTTCTCTTCACATGCAATAAAATAAAAAATATTTATTATCTTAATTTATGTGGCATAGTTTAAATTTTAAGAGTTAAACCTATTTAATTTGATCGTGAATTCATGCATGAACTATTTAAATTTTTAGAAATAAAATTTACATTTTTAAGAACCGTTTAAAATTTATGTTACAGTTCAAAATATTTGGATGACTACTTCGTCTGGCATAAACCAAAAAACCACCATGAAATGAGTATTAATGAAAATGAATTTCTTGCACATTTTCCGATTTCTTCTCATTTACGAGAATTCTATTTTTAACTTTCAATACCTTCATTTAATTGGTGGGTTATTTTTGCCAAAGCAAATAAAAGTTCGATGATACCATCAAATTCAAAACGCCATAGCTGAAAAAACATACATAATCACACCCGATATTTACATTAAATTGTATTGGATTATTATGTTTGATGATAAAATTGAAATATCATATATAAAAAATTAAAAAATATATATGAATATATCATATAAATTGAAGAATACAAGAAGAGATACAAAGTAGGTGGGAAGTTAAAAGAAATTTTAGAGAAGTATTACTCTAGTATATACGAAACTAGCGGATATATCCACGCTTGGCAAACATCAACTTTGTATGATAGATTTTTCTTTTATCGATTCACATGTTTTTTTACTATCATCCTTAATATATACTAGTATTTTAGTCTACAAAATATCTTAAATGTAACAAAGAATAATGATAAATCCAACAAAAATAACTTAGAAAGAGGTTTTAAGTGCACCTAGATGAGGTTTCCTTCATGTAACTCATAGAGGGGACAAAAACGAGGGTAAGATTCGAGGCAGACGGAGAACCAAAATTTAAAATTTATGAGTTTAGAATTGTATTTTATTTTATTTTATTAGATTCTAAATCAATATTTTTTACATATTCAATGAAAATTTGAATCAAAGTTACTAAATTCGGTTGAACCCTTAATAAACACAATAGCTTTGGCCAACACTTATTATATCAAAATGGGAAATATTAGTACTCTATATGGTTTTAATATACTAATGCTATAGTTCTACCTCCATGTTACTTGTCATCGTCCACTTCAAATCCTAGAAAGTAATTTCACTAGGTAGCCTACTTTTAAATAGTCAATTAAGGATTTTTAAAAGTCCCTTAATTAAGTAAAGTTGGATGACTTTTGAAACACAAAACAAAATTAAGTGATTATTAGTGATCTTCTTGGCATTTAACTATTTAAATCAAGTAGATCTAGTTAAAAAATCTTGAAATAAGTGGCATGAATAAAAATTAGCAATTCAAACTTCAAAAAATTTACTTTCAATCAAATATACATATTTGTAATCTATCTTTGATAAATCAAACTTAATAAACGATTCTCTAAAGTTTAGTCTTAACAAGCTAAACTCCAAATAGAAAATATCAAAAGTTTAGCTTTTGCAAGCCAAATGCATATGCTTGAAATTAATATTGAAATATCCAAGTTTATGGATTTTTATGTTCCTTGCTGTAACTTAAATAGTGATCCTCATACAAAAGTGCGACTTTATGCCATTCTCACCACATATGCCTAAAGTTTCTTTTTTCTTTGTTTGTTTTTAATCTTTCTTTCCTATAATTCAATTTTAACTTCTATTATAGACCTAAAATTTTTGTCATGATTCATGAACTAATAAACTTTATTATTTGTTTTCCCTAATTGAAATTGAAAAGTCTAGACCAGAAATAGCTAAATTGTCAAAAAAATTGTTTAAATTGACTATAACTTAAATAGTGGTTCCCAAATTGGCTATATGTGACACTTGGGCCAAATTCAAGTTTTCCATTTCTTGACATGACACTGAAGAAGTAGCAAAAGAGCAGTGACTGTGAGTCCTTATCTCATTGAAACTGCACCTGTCAATGTCTCAGTGGCCCTCTTCTCTCTGACCACCCCCACCCCCACACCCCAAGGGAGAAAAAGGAACAAAGACCCCACTTTGATTGCTATTCCTTAAACATAATTTCACACATAAACACTGATGATTCTTTGAGCTTTTGCTGTTTTCATCTTGTACCTTGTTCTTGATTCTGAAAGGCAAGTTTTTTTCAATCCTTTTCTTGAATTTATTATGTATGTTTACAAGGGCAACAAAACCCATAAAGGACTAATTGAAAAAAATAATATTTTGTTCATAGCTTTATCTATTTTAGGAATATTTTTTTGTTTTGTGCATGTGTTGAATGGTTGGGGTTTGAGAAAAAGCTCCGTTTTTGATTCTTGACTTAAACAAAATATAGCACTCATTTCCTAAATTCTAGGAACCTTGAATTGCTCTTATTTTTTGGAAAAAATTTAAGCTTTGTGATTTTGGGGTTTGCTAGGATTAAGGTATTTAGATGTAGATTGGTAATAATCTATGTTTTACCTCTGTTTCTCTTTCTTGGTTGTTTGTATTTAGAGATGGTTGGTCCTTTTTGTGTGGCTGTGTTTTGTTTTTTGTTATGAATTTATCCAAACAAAAGTAGTGATTAAGATTGTCTTTAATTTGGGTTTGCATAAATTTGTGTGGCCTCTTTGAATTTCACTTTCTGCACCAGGGAAGTGCCCAACTTGAGTTCCACAAGCTCATAGGGTTCTTCTCTTTTTTCATTTTTTTTTCCTATATTTTTTTCATCCCTTTTAGGCTTTAGCATAATGTTATTTTCATCTTCAATTGCTGGCTGGTAAATCTTTGTTTCCTATTGTAATGTTCAATGATTTAATGAATTGAATATTTTTAGTTTTAAATTTTATGATGTGCTTTCATTTTCCTGCAGAGATAATTGCTGAGGGCTTCAGGTCAGGTATACCACTGTTCTTAATCTGCAGGTTCATTAAAGATAAATTTCATTGTAAATGGGATGCTGAGGTTCAACGTGATCCTTTAAAGTCTCTCTGATTATTTGTTCATCCGCCATTTTGAGGTTGTAAGACCTAATAGTATTTGCGCCTTCTCAGCTAGTAATATCTTGGATGTATTTGACTAGAAATTTAGGTGTTGTTCGAATCTCCGACTTTCCTTATTCAAGCTGGCCTATCTTTTACTATTACATAAGTGATATTCATAAAATTAACTTTTCTTTGTTGTAATGCAATAACCTTTCCTCCTATAGAATTGAGCATCTATCACAATGTAATTTTTCAAAACTAAATGACCTTAAAAACCATGTGAAAGTTCTTTACCTTGTCCATTTTATACCCTGTCATTGTCTTCCTCTACCCTGATCGTTGATTTTTTCTAGCATGAGCCCGTAAGCAGTTCTAGTGTAAGTTAGCATGATTGTATTTGTCCAAAAATCAACCTTTACTTCTCGTAGTTTACTTGACCACGTTTTTTTCTACTTGAACCTTCTCCTTCTTGTTTTGCTTGGACATATTCTTGCTAAATGGAGTTCACTTTATTTAGAAGTTCCACTTGTTCATGTAGTATATGTGAGTGCAATTGGATTACCTTAAGTCTAGTACATACCTACTTTGACGAGCATGGAGTTTTAGTAAATAAAGTTTGAATAGATTGTTTTCAGATGTCACATCGGATTAATATGATAATGGTACTAGTTTATATTAATTTGAATTCTTATTTTTAAAGAAGGAGAACTTTTATTTAAATTGTGAATCAAGTTTTTGGGATAGACTTACAAAATACTCCCTCCATCCCATATTAGATGGGCATCTTACTAAAAACAGTTGTCCCATATTACTTGATCATTTACTAAAACAGGATTGAATTAATTATTTTTTTTCCATTTTACCCCTACAATTTCCTTTGGAATGTGAACAATTCTCAATACTAGTTATTCCTATACTTTATGTATATTTTTTCTAACTTATTTTTATGTGCATTAATATGAACAAAGGGCAAACTAGTAAAGTTGATCAATCTATTAATGATTTCTTAATCACCGTGTAAAATAAAAAGTGCCCATCTAACATGGGACGGAGGGAGTAGTAAGTATAGCTTTTCCAAGAAGTAATAAGTTTGCAAACTTTAGGAAGCCTTGTACCTTGAACAGTATTCTTTGATATTTACATTTTCTGGAAGTTGAAGACTGCTGAGTGCTGAGGATGCACATATGGTGATATTTAAATGCTATTTACACTTGGTTGTTGCAGAAAAATGCTCGGTGTCCTTAGGAGATCAGGTAATGACATTAAGAAAGATCCAGACATAGATGACAGTACCTTGTCTCGGAAATCTCTGGAGGTGCTAAAGTTTAGTTCATCTCCCACGGTTGTGTATATTCGTTGCTGCAAATCACATTGGTACGCTAACACTTCAACGTTCATCTGGGAAATTCTGACATGTATTGTGGTACTTCTAGGACTATGGAGTATCACAAATGTGATTGAGAAGTGAAATTGTATAACCTTTGACATCATACACCATGTTATTTGCTCATCTTTAGTAATTGAAATATCACATGAGCTACCAACCTTTGGCCCAAGATATTTTCGCAGTAGTCATTTGAGTCCTTTATGAGAATGAGATTCTACAAGAGTTTGGCCTATCAAAGTCATTTGAGTCCTTTATCATGTTCCACACAATTATGTTTCAAGCTTTTAAGAAAAACTATTATATGTGTCATGCAGTAGTTTCTTGCAGATTTTATTTTTCAACTTTTACAATGTTCGTATCTCATAAATGAACTATTTCACAGCTCTACAGATGTGACATTCTTTGCTTTGGAACCTAGTGGACGATGGAGAGTTCTTGTTCTTCCACAGCAATATCTCTACCGTGAGATCTGTTGGAAATCACCTCAATCACATGTAAATAGCTTGCAAGTTGGTTCTTTGTTGCCATTAACTTCTCTCTTATTTGGTAGACAGAAGATTCAAAGAGTTATGAATGTTGACTCTACTCTTGAATCAATTATGTCTAGCAGCTCTCTACACCATGAAGGTTCTTTGAGCAATCTAAATGAATGGAACATGTTATCAATCACTTCTTCTGGTCAAAATCCAATCACCGAATGTGAATTTCCTGGAACCATCACCCACGGATCTGATGCTATTAGTGTAGAAGATATGTACATTCACGACTCTAAGAAAGAAAAATCCACAGACAAGTACTCAAGGAAGAAACCTAGGAAGAAGGGGAAACGGAACAAAAATCTCAAGTGCAGTAATGGCCTAAATGAGCTGCAATCTGCAGTTGGATGTTCAATAACTCAAGCTGTGATACAAAATATACAGCATAGATCAATTAGTTCTTCTGCTAATATTTGTAATTCCTTGATGAATGATGACATGACCGTGAGCTCTATTTCTCTTGGTTCAAGCAGTGATGAAAGATGTAGTCAGCGTGTCTGTAAATCACCTCATCCTATTGCCAGAACAGAGGTTTCTTCTAGTGAAGGCATCTTAAAGAGTGCAAAGCTGGACGGACCAGGTCAAATTGAGGAGCTTAGAGAGAGGGAAGTGTGTTCAAAGCAGCATGCTGGAAATCTTTATGGAACAGAAAAGAGGGACAAGTACATTAGAAGAGTTCCCAATGACTCAAATGTCTATGCAAGTAGTACCAGGAACCAGAATAGCCATTCGAGGAAGGAGAATTATCAGTATATTTGGAAAAGGGTTCAGAAGAGAGATGCTGATGTAAGCAACTGTGACTCGGAAAAGTTGAACTTAGGTTTCTCACAGTCTGATGATAGGTTGAAAAAGAATACATTGAAGAAAAAGTTTCCTAATCCTGTTGATTCTATTATATTGTCACAATCAGCCCATGAAAATCAGGAAAAGCTCAAATTCCCTAAAAACCCCAGAAGACACAAGTATCCAGGCTCACTGCAGGAGAATGAAAGTCAATGTGGAAAAGGATCTCCAGTTAATGGAGACTGTTCAAATGCTTGTTTGAAGACTAACATGCAATCAGATCCTTGCCAAATAGCTTCGGCAAAAAGATCAATAAATGTAGCAGATTCTCAAACTAGAACAAGTTCTTTTAGGGCTAGATACAAGAAAAGGAATGTTCAGTATGTCCCTTTAAAACCAATCCCGAATCCCAAATCTTGTCCCCGTGACTTGGAAGCTAAAGAAAATGTCCCAATTGTTGTATCCCGCTTGGATGATCAAATGGTCGAACATCAGTTTTTGTTACCTCGATCAGAGAAATTCAATGGCCTGACAGAGCAGCAGGGGGAGCTTCTTGCTGCGGATGGAGAGGATGATAAAATGGACAAAGAAGTTTCTCCTTCTGGTCAAATTAAGCATGAGCATGACACTGTCCCTCAAGCTTTCTCCAAATCCTGGATGCACCAAGAGCTTAAAGATTCTGAGCTACCAAATTGTTTGTCAGTGGGGACGCTTGTTGAACCAGAAAGATGGACCTCCAAAAATGCCACACAGGAGCAACTGGCTTCTAAATGTCTAGCTCCTGTTTTTTCCTCAGTGAATGTCAGAGTGAAAAATGCAGGTCAACATGTAGAAAATATTAAGGCATCACCTGGTGATACTCAGTTTGGGAAGTTGAAAAATCATAGCATACGCACTCGAGAACTGGGCTGCAACAATGCTGCTATGGAAACGTTCTTCAATCCTGAAACTAAAAGCAAAACCTTTCACAGTCTCGAAAATGATTGGAGAAACATTGCTCAGGCAGTGAACGATGCCCATACGGCACAGCTAGCCTCTAAATCCATTGAGATAGGTAAGGGATATCCTGCTGCTGAATTTGAGAAACTTCTTCATTCTGCCTCTCCAATTATATGCCCATCTGCTAGTATTCAGACTTGTCAGGCTTGCTTCCCTAGTCGAGCTACTAATGCACCTCTCTGCAGACATGAGATACCCAATGTCGCTTTGAAGAACTTGTGGCAGTGGTATGAGAAACATGGGAGCTATGGTTTAGAAGTAAAAGCGGAGGACCACGGAAATGCAAGACAATGTGGGATGGATGGTTTCGAGTTTCGTGCATATTTTGTTCCATATTTGTCAGCCATTCAGCTTTTCAAGGACCATAGGACTCATCCAATCCATAATGATAAAAGGAATCTGGGGTCCATGGAGGTGGACTGTAAGATGAGTAAAATATCTGAGGGTTCACCTAAAGTAGATCTGCATTCAATATTTTCTGTACTTGTACCTCAACCTCGTGCTGAGGATTCAAGCTCTTTACTACAAAAAGGTGATCTCTCTGAATCAGGGTCATCTTCAGAGTGCAGTACTGGTGATTCACATCATATACCAGATGAATTTGAGTTGTCTGATGATACGGAGCTTCTCTTTGAGTATTTTGAATCTGAGCAGCCTCAAAGGCGGCGACCCTTGTTTGAAGCGTACGTCATACTTGAGCTGTTTCTTCTAGCATTTAGTTTATCTTTTGTTAAGTGTTTCCCTACAGTGTTGAATTTCTTGTGGGTCAAGATATGAAGGAGGTTTCAATGGGTTCTTGTATAATCAGACTTTAATATCTTAGTGATTTTGCAACCTCAGGGGAAAAAAATATATACTGACCAGCCTCTCATGTCCTCTTGCAATGCAACATTAGCCCGTCATTAGGGAGGTTATTGTCAGCACATCGTTATCTTCAATACTGATTTTTTTTCCCAATACTGACTTATACTCCATGATTACTCTTATTTTGCTTCTGGTGAAGAACCAACATTTATTTCCCTCTTCTCTAGTGTTGGATTTTAGGTAAGCATACTTATTTTGCTATTATTTCCCATGCTCTCTAAGCAGGGAAACTCTTGTTTGATTGATTTGTCATCCTTGAGTTCTATGTGAGTTGTATGCAGCTCGTTGCCAGGAAGGGCTTTTTTTATTTTTTTGTTCAATATCACTCTGCTGATCTTTCTTCAAAATCTCTATTACAGAATACAGGAACTTATCTCTGGTGATGGACCCCCCTCAAACTGTAGATCATATGGAGATCCATCCATCCTACATACAGTGAGCTTACGTGACCTGCATCCTCATTCCTGGTTAGTAGTGGAAACGTGTAGCTTGTATGGTGTATTAGTTCTCAAATATGTGAGGTGCTATACATATCTACGTACCTGTTTGGGGAAATGCTTATGTGAAAAACCATCATCTAGTTCCAGAGCAAGATTCTTTTAGATCTGAATATTCTGTGTATTTACAGGTTTTCGGTTGCATGGTACCCTATTTATAGGATACCCGATGGCAATTTGCGTGCTGCTTTCTTGACTTATCATTCACTTGGCCATTTTATTCACAGAGAGCAGTCATTTAAAGACTCTAGTGTGGATGCCTGTATGGTTTCTCCAATCGTAGGCCTCCAAACCTACAATGCTCAGGTAGAATCATAGTGGCCAATCTCACAATGTGAAGGTGTCTCATAAAATTTCCTAAAGTTTATTGGACTTCTGTTGAGATACTATCATGGTTAAAATTATAAATCTCATGATAAGAAATTCTTAAAATGAATATATCTGTAACAAAATCTTTGTCAAAAAAGAATATATCTGTAACAAAAATGTGTAATTTTGGATATATCTTGGTGGTGCAAACTATAGGGCATAAAATGACTTTAGGAAGTATGTCCTAGGTAAAATGAGCACGAAATATTTGCCATGTTATCCTCCGTCACAATCCCTGAAGTTCTGCTGTTAAAGAAAAATACAGTATGCTGGTAATCCTGGAAAGCTCCTGAAAATAGTCAATTGAAAGTCAAAATTTGCTAGCTTAAACCATATATTAGTGGTCTTATTGTCCTGTGCAACACTGCAACTATTGAAGAAAATCTATTGTGCAATTTTTACTTCTTTGAATGAAGGACATGGATTTATTTTGTTGATTTGGTCTGGTTGGGGAAACTCCACATACATGAGCTTTACAAAGCATCAGTGCTATGTGCCTGTATCAAGGAGGAGGATTGCGGTGGATTGACAGTCAAAAATATAAAAATAATCTAATTATGATGAATTCCTTGTATACTGCATTAAAAGAGCAGAATGGGGACAATGAAACGAACTCATTTAGTTAATCTCAACCAATTTGGAATTGAGGTGTAGTTGATTGAGTATGGTCTGGTTAGGCAAAGACTACAAGGTGGTTCACGCAAGTGAAGTTGTACACATTTACAACTAAGAGAACTGTTTTTGTATTCACCTCTTCATTAGTATACCTGGCACCCCCAATCTAAGCCGGCCCATTGAATTTTTCAAGTTCACAACAGAAATTATTTGTATAGCTGTAAAAGTACCTGCCACGAGTTAATACTTGTCAACTGACATTTTTATTATATCCCTGCATGTAAATATACTGTACATGGCAATGACATTTCTTTTTGTCTTAATGGCAAAACAAATAGGGTGAATGCTGGTTTCAGCCAAGGCACTCTGGTGACGACCTGACAGAGGAATTCTTGGATATGGACCTTCATACAGTTCTGAGAGAGCGACTAAGAACATTAGAGCAGACTGCATCAATTATGTCACGAGCTGTGAGAAAGATTGGAAGTGATACGCTCATGAACATACATCCTGATTATGAGTTTTTCTTGTCCAGGCGACGCTAACTGTTTCTGATCCTTGTATTTTCTGTTTATAAGATGGTACTCTCTGTACATAGCTTAGCGTACTGATAGGATCCCTTTTTCAGGATTGGAAGTAATGCTTACTGGTTACAGTTAAAATCTTATCTATTTGTAAGCTTAGAGTTTCGTAATTCAGCTGTTGTACATATTAAGACTTTTGTCTAGCTGGAATCAAAGAATGCAACGTGTTATGAGATGATTTTTGCGAATATAAAGTCAGTACAGAATTATTTGTGTTTTTAACTATGAGAGTTGGTTTCGGGTTTTCATTCCGACTTTCAGCATGCGAAAATGAGAACTAGTTTTTGAGGTTGAAAGTCTCTTTAATAGTTTTGCTTGTATGGGTTTCACCAAGTGTATCTGTTCGAAACACGAATACAGGAGGATGGTGGCACTACGTTGATAGTCAAAGAAGGATCTTTTGAATGTGCTAGAATGTGTCTGTGTAGTCTCTACATATGACATTTAAATGGAGAAACATGGTCGGTAAGGTGTATTCTCACAAAACATATTCAATGCAATAAACTTGAACCAAGTAGAAATTATATAAACCACTCTAGTTACGTTACTGTATAAGATAGTGCTAGACCAATGTACGAGAAGTTGATTTATCTCACAAGTAAAGCAGAAGCCTTGAATTTTGGAACTAGAACCTCAATATTGCATCATATTTTAGTTTATAAATTCAAGAGTCCCTCACTTCATGAATATTTGTGTAGTTTCAGTAGAAATGAAACAAAGAAAAGATGACAACACTTCTGACGTCTAATTTTTTTTATCAGAACTACATTTGAGGGTAAAACAGACATATTCATGACATCTATAGCAAGGTTTGTTATAACAAAATCTCAACTCAACACTGGTATCATATAATCACTGATTATGCGATAACTGAAACGACCTATGGGAATTGGTATTCAGAGACAAAACAAACTAACTACTTCAGCCTACCGATCACATATTACATTCTTATGGCTTTATACACACTCTTCCATAACTAACTTTGGCTTTCTTCACGTCATCCTCCTCCCTCCCAAATGTAATCTTCGAGTCTTATAGGAGAATCATCCTCCTAGAGCACCGACATGGCAAGCCCATGTGATGTTCACTTCGTGGTGTGTCCTCCTTGGCATCCAGATTAGCAGCTTCTTCAATTGAATTTACAACATTTGTCCGCAAGAGTAATTTGCAGATCCATTGAGAATGGTTGTCATATTCTATCGATTAAAATATAAAATACAAAACTCAAGCAGCCCAATCTTCATCACTAGCTTCTGTATCCTGAACATATTTAAGAGTTGAAGAATAACCTAAAAATATGAGAGTCTAGGACTTCACTGCAGCATAAAAAACTTGACGACACGACACCTAAACAGTTAAATTAACAGATACAAAATTAATCAATGAAAAGAAATTCTTTTAGAAGTGTTTCAGAACTCAAACCTTAGATGAACTAGACAACTCTTCAATGTCATCTTCACCCTACAGAGTATGTCAAAACACAAGAGACAACATTTATATTAGCTGAATTTAGAAATACGAGCACAACCAGTACAGATCTTGTACTGATTTGGTAAATCAAATGAACCAAGATACATAGATTTTGTCAGCGGAGCATGAGAAAAAAAAAATGGCTCTCCTAATTCCTATCCATGAAGCAGTCATACATTTTCTTTTTATGACATGAATGGTTAGAAAAATGAATGCACTCATCAGAACAAATCCTTCCTTTTTAATTTACACAGAAAAAAGTTTCCGTTAATGTCTGGTTTAAACATGTATCATCAGTTTCAGAAAACACGAGATAAATTTAGAAAGCTATAGTCAAAGCTGCACATCCAAGGAAGATGCATAACTTCAAGTGGGAAACTGTTTGTCATGAGTGATATACTTAATTACCATAAAGAATAATGTTCAAGAACAGCCATAATCTTGCGAAGTGTATCATGAGCACAGAAAAGAGGAGCACTCTCCCAAACTTCCCTTAGCATGAAGGTGGTATAAGAAGTTTGCCAATGTGTCCAGTTTAATCCAAATTAAGGTGAACTACTTCCCAATATTTGAAATCTAAACATCATTCAGGGGTGAGAAAAGATCCAATTGTCGAACTAAACGAAGATTCAGAAAGTTAGTTACTATGTATATCACCTGGATATATAGTCTATGAACCAAGCCAATTATTTTCAATTGTATCTTCAACATTATAAGAGCCTGCTGGACTTCCTTTCTTTATCTTTGCTAGCTAAGTCGAAATTGCCATTTAAGAGGAAAGAAAGATGATGAAAGAAACAGAGTCGCCCAGAGTTGGACTGAGCATGGCAAGTGGATTAATTGCAGAACATAGTCTGAATTTTACCTGAGAAGTACCAACATGATCAGGCATGGTTGAACCAGATTCTGTGTTGGATTCCCCTTTGTTTGTTGATTTTCTTGTTTTCCTTTGAGAAACTCTATCTGGAGTGACAAGCTTCAAAGTTTGTGGAGAAATACAAACATTAATTATTTGTGCATCAACAGAACAAGTATGAGTATGACCCAATAAAATATGAAGAGAAGTCAGACAAAAAGTTCACTTTTACCCAAACACACTTCTTTTTCTTTTTTGTTATAAAACCCAAACATAAAATTGATGGTTACTAGCATGTGATTCTATCTATGATATGAACTATTAAGTGGTATATCCCCTACTATAGTCCCTCAGTTATCACTTTGAGCATACAACTCAACCGCTAAAGTCATATTCTGCAACAAAATTCAGGCCAGTAAACTAAAATTCATGAGGAAGGGTGGGGGGTCTCAGAATTTTTTTTCCCCAAGGCAAGTTATTCCAGCAAACACCAATATAATAGCATCCACATTTACCTCGCAAATGAATTAAGTTATTGCTCCTATTGTGAAACTGGCCTTCTATTTCCTATCTTTCCACATCACTCCATCCATGATACTTCATTGCCTCTCTTTACCATCTCTACCCTCTTTTAGCGAATGACGGTAATGCAGGACTACAACACTTTTTGCTCTCAATAACCATATCCTACAGTGGCTATCAAACACCTTCATAACTATGTCTATAGAAAATCATGTAGTGTAGCATCATTATTGGATATAACAGGATGGCATCACCAAATAAAATATCTGAATGCAGGTGATTCTACTTTTGTAGGATACGAGCTTGAGGAAATTTAAGGGATGAAGAGTTGTGGTGGCCCATGAGGGGAGTTCATAAAAAACAAGCATGGGTCTGCCCCCCCCCCCCCCTCTTCAACAAGTACACATTAATGTTGTTAGATAGACGATATGTTCAACAATTTCTAAAACTAACTTGTTGCCTCATGACAGAGCTACGAGTACATACCTTGTTTACTTTTTTTCTTTATGAAGTAAGATAGACTGTCCGTACCTTGTCCACTTTCTTAAACATTGTTGAAATAGTAGCCTGAACAAGAGAACTCTGCTTAGTACGGGGGGATTTCTTAGACTTGGAAGCAGTTTCGGCAAGGGCAGTGATTTTTCCAGTAACTTGACTTTGTACTACAGTTTCATCACAAAGAATGTCACTGCCTGCACCACAGATTTTTCATTCCATTAAACGATTTAAAGGAACTGGAAGATAGCAGGTGAAGGGAGATGAACAACAGAACAAACCCAGAGAACAGAGACAAGACTTTGAGGGACTCTCACTCTAATGGCTTCTTTAAAGAAGTTCGGAAAAAACTAACAAAGGATATAAGAAAATATTTTCGAGATGTTTCCAGAAGTACATTTTTTTGTGAACGATTCATACCAGTTTTCTCTTCTTCCTCGGAAGATTCGACTTCATTGTCAACCAATTCATCCCCGGAAGAAACTTCTGCAAAACTGAATTATTGAACATAAAAATACAGGTCATGTATTAAGCAGACATCAGAGTCAACTAGATCTTAGTTAATACAGGAAAATATCCCTCAAGAAATTAATGCAAACAAATACAAAGTAAAATTTCAAAGAAAAAAGTTATAGGCATATAAAGTAGTGACAAAAGATCAGTGATTGTTCAGTTTCTTCTGTGGATAGTCCTTGAATGAGTACCAAACTAATGCTCCTTAACTGGAGTCCTCAGGAGTGTTAACATATTCTTATTTCCTAACAATAAGGGCGCATATTATGAATGAAATTAATTTTAAATGCCTACTCTTTTTTTTTATTTTATGAAGTAAGGAGATTTCATTAGAAGGCATCAAGAAGATGCAAGGCAAAAAATTACAGCAAAATAAGGGGTCTGCTCCTGTACAAGAATTTACTAAATAACTAAAGAGCAGACATAGTCCAAAAAAAGATCAACAGTGGTTACAGGGGCCTGGTTGAACCGGCTATATAAGAAGACTAAACAGTTGGATTTAAGAATGTGGTTAGGAATTAAATGCCTACTATTTCTTATGCAGGTACAGTAATCCTGGGCAGTCCATGAAGTTATCTTTCACCTCAGTGATAAAAGCTATGTTATACTACATACAGTTAGTTTCATGCAATATGATGCCGTCAGTGCAAGATACCAGTAATAAGGAAAACTACTTGTTATACAAATCAAAGCATATACTTGATTTTTTTTCCTGCTGCCCTTGCTGAACGACGAGATGGAGTTAATTCGATAAACTCTTTTGAATCATTTTGACTTTCTGATAATAACTCCTCCTGTTCATGTTCAGGAGACTGTTGTTCCACATGCTTGACCCCACATTCACTAGTACTTCGTTTTTTAACACATGTAGCACCAGCACCACCTTTAAAATCACACTCCGATTTCTCTTGCTGCTGTAACCAAATAAGATATCCAACAGTATCAGCAATTCTTTGGAAACAGTGAGCAACAATCAGCAACTTTAGCATACTCTATTAATTAATGCTTTAACCAGTTGGGTTAGGAACAATTTGACAAAAAAACTAACCACATTCAGCTCTTTTGGAAACTCGAGTCGTGCTTCTTCAGGATTCTCATCTTTCCTCCCTATCCACCATGCATCAGAAAACACAATCTGGAAAAGAAATAAGCCAAAAATCAGGAAAAATGAAAGAGGTTAAGTAAATGCAACTAAGTGCTAAGCAAATCCTTTTAGTTTTCATCAGAGCCTTATAATAAGGTGAACTATAACATAAGTAAACCAAATCCTAATCTGTCGAACAGAGTCAACAAACAAAGTAGATCTAAGAAAAACATTTGCAATGGT